AATATGAAATGTAAATTTGGATCATTTTTTTTCTTTATAACATTTTCTCATATTTATTGAATCATTTTTATTTACAAATTATGCATTGGATGGTTGCTTCTTTCTACATACTTTTACAATTTGTCGTATGCAAAATTTCATTATCACTAAACTATTAGTAAAAAGAAAATAATCTGATATCACTATTATCAGTTTGAGTTATCTATGATAAGCATTTGTTGTCCTTAATTTTCTTTGGAAATATTAATACCAAATTTTCCACATACACACACTTTTATTATATTTAATTTTATATGAATATGTAAAGTAGAAAATCATAAATAATTCATTTCATGTATAAATGATATACCTGAAAGTTTCCACTTACGATGTTAATTTAAATTAATAAACTTACGATGTTAATTTAAATTAATAAACTTACGATGCTAATTTAAATTAATAAACTTACGATGTTAATTTAAATTAATAAACTTACGATGTTAATTTAAATTAATAAACTTACGATGCTACTTTAAATTAATAAACTTACGATGCTAATTTAAATTAATAAACTTACGATGTTAATTTAAATTAATAAACTTACGATGCTAATTTAAATTAATAAACTTACGATGCTACTTTAAATTAATAAACTTACGATGTTAATTTAAATTAATAAACTTACGATGTTAATTTAAATTAAGAAACTTACGATGCTAATTTAAATTAATAAACTTACGATGTTAATTTAAATTAAGAAACTTACGATGCTAATTTAAATTAATAAACTTACGATGTTAATTTAAATTAATAAACTTACGATGCTAATTTAAATTAATAAACTTACGATGCTACTTTAAATTAATAAACTTACGATGCTAATTTAAATTAATAAACTTACGATGCTACTTTAAATTAATAAACTTACGATGCTACTTTAGATTAACAAACTTACGATGCTACTTTAAATTAATAAACTTACGATGCTACTTTAGATTAACAAACTTACGATGCTACTTTAAATTAATAAACTTACGATGCTACTTTAGATTAACAAACTTACGATGCTACTTTAAATTAATAAACTTACGATGCTACTTTAAATTAATAAACTTACGATGCTACTTTAAATTAATAAATACTTTCAACAATTTTTTCCACTTTAGGATAAATCGATGAATTTATGCACAATTATCAGTTACAATGATAACACTAACATATCACTAAGATGGGACATAGATGATAATCAAATGAAACGATGCATTCAACAAATGCAACAAAATACAAATTCGAAAGAAAAACACATTGTATTCGATGATAGAAACAATCATATAACACAATTTTCTTATGTTTTTGAAAATTCTTTTGGTCAGTTTTGTCTATTAAAATTAAAAATTTTGAGTGAAAAGAAAGATTCAAAGCGATTTTTTTTATTAGAAAATTAATTATTACACATCTAATTACATAAAAAGTATAAATTATAACTTTAAGTAAAATGAATGAAGTAGGAATGCATTTTGAAAACAATACTATGATAAAATTACTACAATTTTTGCTATAATTTAGTCATTATTATAGTTTTTAGCAAATAAATTTATTTAAGTTTATTATTTATAAATTTAATTTATTAAATTTTTTAATTTGTTATTATATATTTTTAAATTTATTATTTGCAAATTTATTTAACGAATTATTTTGAAGAAAATATAAAACAAAATATAATAATTTTGCTTATACAACATAAACATAATAATTATATTATTACTGAATAAATAAAACATTTTCGAGAAGATTTTTGACCAATGAAATTTTTTTTTCAGTGTGATCTATTTTATCATTAAAATAATAACAATAATTTATGTTTTTTTAACTTTTTATTTTTTAAATTAATAATTTTAAATTATCGAAAAAATTTTTTTTTCAAATATATTATAGCTTCAAAGAATATCACATGTTTTACTAACAATGCAACAGATGAAATATATAATATAACAATTTCATGTATGAATTTTACTGAAGCATCAGGTTTACTTTTAATTGTTTAACTTAAACTTTAACAGTAATTATTGTAAGGAGAAAAAAATAAAAGTAAGAAAGGCAAAACTTGAAAATATTTTCAGCTGCTCTGGATGATAAGATGGAATATTATGTATGTTCATTATTCTCTAATTAATTTATTACATCTTAGTCTTAATTGATTAATAATAAAAGTTTTAATAATTAACTTAGCATAAAAGATGATCAAATTTTCATTAAAATTTCGTTGTCAATTAAGAAAATAAAAATTCACAAATATATGCAATAATCGAATGAGAAAATAAGCGAAATACAAAACCAAATTTTAATCAGTTTTGTCGAACTAATACTTTTAGCATTTTTTTTAAGCAATTCATGATTTCAATTTTGAATTCAAATTCAAATTAATTTCGTTTGTTCAATATTTAATTCAACAAATAATTTTATATCGAAATTACCTTATTTCTCAGTGCTGCCATGCTCGATCAATCAGAATTTTTATTTCAGGGCTGGAATAGTTCTATGATCTCCTCATATTATGCAAATTATACGTCTACAACAATGGTATCTACTTTCTACTAGCATATAATATCATAGTGTAATATCAAGTATAAACTTATTCCAGAAACCGTTACCGGAAAAATGGATTCGAATAGTTCGTGTTGGATTGGCTAGCTTTTCCGTATTTCTTGCTATTATTACAGTTTGTGTTATTTTATTCCTATTTGTTGTTCTTCTCAAATGCATTCAACGATTATTGTTGGTTAGACGAATGCCAACATCACAGTATTCAATTATCAAACATATTATCACTGATGAAGCAATTGTATGAAATAATTTTATCAAATATTAAAAATTAAATTGAAATAAAAAAAGAATGTTTAAAAAAAAAATTCTAATTTATTTAGGCTGAAAAGAATTTAAAAAAATTTAAAACGACAATTTTAAAATTAAAATTTTTTCAAATTTGTATTAAAAAAAAAAAAAATGCTAAATTATAGGAAGATGTAACGCAAGAATCAAGTTGTCATAATTCAGCAGTATATTATAGACAAAAAATATCTGCATCCAGATTATTACATCTAAAAGATATACGATTTGGCATTTAAAGAAAAACGAAAAAGAAAAAAAAAAGTTAAAATTTTTAAAGATGTATAAATGTTTATTTTAAAAATATAATTTATACTATTAAATATTTAACACATCTGCTTTGCTTTTTTTAATGTAAGTTAAATTAAAATATGATATACAGTTTTTATTTTAATTTAATTTATTTTATTATTTTAGACAAATTTTGAAAGTTTCGTTTAGATATATGTAAATTTTGTGAAGAAATCTCAAATTAGCTTTTTTTTTTGACAGATTTTACTATAAGTTTTCTAACGAATACAAGAAGGCAATGCATAATAAACATTTGAAATTGATTGGATCATTGATTGGAAATTTATCATTAAATGATAGTTAACAATAAAGATAAAATATTTGTAACTTTTAATAACTTTTTAATTTTTGCCTATTAATTTGATAAATTCATACAATTTAATAAGTTATCTTATAGGATATTCGGAAATCCATAAAATCTATGCTTCTCTAAAATAATTTGAGTAAAGCTTTTGTTTCAAATATTAGTAAGATATTAGTTTGAAATTAACAAAATATTATTTATTTAAATAATATGAAATTTCTCTTACTATCTTGCTATCTGTACTTACCTGTACTTATGAAAAACTTTGCAGAACTTTAGCTTCCAGTATGATACTGTAATATTCTTTCCGATTATGAAGAATATATTAAACATCTGGTTACATTTTTTTTTTACGGTTTACCGAACGGTTAACCGGTTCTCATCTCCGCTTTACAAATCGGAGAATAAATAAATAGAAAATTTGCGATATGCTAATTATTTTTTTTCTGATATTCAAGGAATTCCATCCAGCACTTTTCATTAATTTGCTAAATTCGTACAATTTAAATTTCCTCAATACAACAATGAAACAAAACAAAACTTTAAAAAAGGTTTTTTTTTGTTTTTTATTGATTTTAGAACAAAAAAAGAAACAAAAGCAATTACTCTTTTGAAGAAGAAATCACACTGAAACAAAATACAATATCTATGAAAACGTAACGTAACGTAACGTAACGCAAGAATTATCAAATACGTGCGTTCGTTGGCGTACGCTCTGGCACTTTGTAATATCAGATAATATATTATATTAGCAATGAAAGAAGAAAAACTAACAAAAATTACAAATAGTAGAAAAAGAAAAAGGAAAAAAAAAAAACATAAAGAAAAATTATTACAACCATATGTAACATTAAAAAAAATCAACGAGTAAAAAGTAGTATCAAGTATCAATAACAGAAGTGAGAACGGAAAAAAAAAGTTGAAACATATCCGGAAAAATAGAAAAAACAGGAAAAAATAGGGAATAAATTGGCCTGAATGAAAAGTAATTAATTTAAACGTTTAAATGCTTACTATACCAAAGGAAAAATTAATTGAGTATTTAGCTTTAACTAAAATTATGTTTACAAAAATATCGAAAATTGACAAATAAGGTAATATTGCCGTATCAAAAACAAATATATTATTTTGTGCTAATTACAATGTGATAGAAACTTTGTGAATAAAATAAAATTTGCAGTCACAAAAAAGCAGTCAAATAATTTATATTAATATTGGTGGCATAAATAAATTCATGAAGCGAATTAGCAAATTCTATTCCTTATCACTATAAAAAAAAAAAAAGAGTGTATCTCTATAAGCTTTTAAATGATAAATTAATTTTTTAATGATTATCATTTTGTTTGATGTTAGATAGAGTTACTTAAAGATTACAATCATATACTACTTCCCTATCATCAAGCCTCTTTAAGTTACTAGATTAAATCAAAGGCGTAAAGCTTAGACTAATTAAAAAAAGTATACCTTTCCTAAATCATAGTTTTTTCTTTCAATACTTATTTTTTTTATTAAATATGAATAAAATGCTACAATCAATGCTATGTTCTCTTCTAGTAAAGTACCGTCAAACAATTTATGTTTTTATTTACGAGATAATACTTATAAATTATCTTCTCCAGAAAGACAATCAATTGATCTTGTATCAGCTATGAATATTTTCGAATGTCAACAAAAGCAAAAATTTTGTCTAAGTTTTGAAAATTCTCGACGAATGTTGCAATGGTTAATGCAAGATAGCAGCAAGCAAGGCGACCAAAAAATTTCTACAAGTTTACAAAAACAAATTCAAGAAATTCAGGAAAAAGACATTCCGAAATACAATAAAAGAGATGAAACGAGTAGCGGATAAAAAAGAAATTATTGTGTAGTAAGATTATTATTATTATTAACATTAATATTAATATTACTATTATACTATTAAATCTTCGAAAATCTCTACATAATTTAAAAAAAAAAAAAAAAAAGTTATTTATTACAATAAGTTTTAAAGAAAAATAAATTAGTTACTTAAATAAAATAATATTTTACTTGCAAAATTTGATTGGTTAAAATGTATCACTACATAAAATTTCTCAAATTTAACTTAAACAATGGAAATGTCTTTTAGTTTTCACATAAACTTACGCAGCAATCAGTAATGCTGTGAGCAGCGTACATTAACGCATGTTGTCGCATCAGTGTAATGACAGCAATCAACAACTGCGGTTGTGTTTGATGTCATTTTGTTATTTGGTAAATGGTTATGATGTGGTGGATGAGCTAAGACCTGAAATTGTCCAAATTTAACAATTTGTTTACCAATCTTTTAAAATATAATGCAAATATTACATTCATTTAAAGTAATGCCTTTTTTCTCGATTTAGAACGATTGACAAATTTCCAATTTAAATTAATTAAAATTACTAAGATAAAAATCTTCAAGATTTCACGTGTAATATTATTAATTTTTCTTTTTTCCTTTTTACAACTGTTACTCTGCTAATTATTCTCTTAAATGCATTGCATTTAACAGTCTGTTAAGTTTGAGTAATATTTATGAAATTAAATTTTCATTCAAATCTATTATTTTGATTTATTCAATAATTACTTTTTGTTTGATGGATGTCAAACATTTACCTTAGTTTGATCACCAATACGAACAAGCGGCTTATGGGAAGCTTTCTTCTTATCAGAATATTCACCGTAATGATAACAATCCCAGCATGATTCACAATAGTACTGCAAGCAAGTTACGTCACCGCAAAAATACGGTGCGTAACGACCGGCGCACTGTGCACCTTCGCATTCATCGCACATTTGCTCGTCGATTACATATGGTTTTATTTCGACCTAAAACAAAAATATCATTGAAATAATTTTCTAAAAATTTCAAAATCATTGAAATTCTGAATGAATAGAATAACTTTCATCTTTTCATACAATTAATGCGATTTTTTTTTTGTTGAAAAAAAGAAATTAATTTAATCTGATATCAAAATTTAGTTATTTTCAAGTACTATTACTAGTCAAATTACATATATAAAAATGAAAGAGAATCTAAAATGTAAGGCAGAATACAGTATGAGATTCGATTATTTATTTCATTGTTTATTCATTCTTATTTGACGATAAACGACAAATTATACTGTAACGTTTACTTTCTCTCAATAAATAAAATACTTTTGAAACATTTACTTTAATACTTTATCAATTAGTAATATTTAAAATCAATTAATAAATTAAAAAAAATATTGCTAAAATGAAAAAAATGATGCAAAAAAATTACTCGTTTGCTCATATCAGCATGTGGTATATGCACAAAACGTCCACTTATAGCTGCAATGAATGAATATTCGGTGGTGAATGTAACTCGAGCAGCACCTTTTGGATATTTCAATTCCGGATCAATATCAATTCCAACATAACAAACCGCTCCGTAAAGATGATCTAGAACACATGCCAATTCTCCTGAAATAAAAATTTCATAAACCGAATGAATAATTTTAGAATTTTTTTTTTTTATTTTTTTATTTTTAATTTTTATTTTTGCTTATTATAATATAAAGAACATACGAGCTTTTGTTGGTCGAGGTACGCCACCTATGAAAATAGTTCTTCGTGGATTCAATGGCATATCCTCTCGAAGCATAAATTCCATATCATCTAGACGCCATGGTCGTACTTGTACCTTAGAATTATATTTTAAATATCATTCTTATCAAAAAGAAAATCATATTAAATTCTAATTGCTAGAGGATAGATATAGGAAAACTTAATTATAAATATACCTCTAAAATTAATGATATTAAAAAGAAAAAAAAAAAATTTTTTTTACTGGTTTATCACGCATTGTTGGACTAGAAACAAATAAGTAATATTTGTCATCCTCCTTATGACAGCTATTCACTAACAGTTGCACTGAACGCTCATCTTCAAATACCAGGAAGACGTAACCAGTCATGTGACGTGCTAAATATGACGTGTAAAATGGATGCTTCATTTTATTATTTTGAACTATTATTTGTATTTTAGAACAAGTGAATCGATATTTTATTTCCTATTTTTTATGAGGAACAGAATTTTGAACAGAAAAAAACATACATATAAATTTAGCAGAGTGAATGAGATTTACAGCTTAATAATCAAAATTAACTTGTATTTAAATGTTTTAAAAATTATTTAAAAATACTAGTAAACCTGTGGATCTTTCTTTAGCACCGGTATCAGGACGACGTGGCCAATCAACAAGTACTGGACCAAACTGTGAAAATGTTGATGTTATTTCATCTGTAAAAGATTTCATTTATTAGTAATAACAATATGAAATTAAAAACACAAATAAATCCATCTTCATACTGTTTAATTTATCATAATTATCGTTGACAATCTAATGACAGTTGTTTAACTCTAGTCTAATGATAGCATGTTATAATTATACCTTTTATTTATATTATCAAAGTAATAATGATTATTAAACAGACACGAATTTTTTGAATTTAATTTAAAATTCTCACTGAGAATTTATAATTTTTTTTTTTTTTTTTAAAAAGTTTCTCTTTACCCTCTGTAACATCAATTGGAAGACCACCGACGAAAACTTTGCGGGCAAAAATTTCAACTGATTCATCCATAATGAAATATGCTTCTGGAGTAGATGGAACACCAGGATTACGCGGTGGATTTCGACGATCATTTGTTTCCGTTTTTGCTGTAAAAGAATCACTGAATTATCGATCTCAAAGTTCTTTCCATTTTTTTTTTTAATTTTTATTTTTTTGTTATCATTTTTTTTTTAGATGTCAAATGATATTCAGGATACAAAATTTATTCTACTAGCTAAAATGCAACAATTATATTTCAAAAAAAAAAAAAAAAAAAATCTTGAATAGAAGAAAAATAATTATTCGATTCATCTCAAAATTTCGACAATAGCTCACTGATATCGTACACTATGTTATCATATGTTATCATTTTCAGAAGTTCAATGAATTACCATTGTTATTGTTTACGGATGCAGGAGACCATGAAGGCAATGTTTGATCATGCGGCATAACCACTGTACAATCATTTCCATTACCATTTTCGTTTTTATCAGCAAATTTTAATACCGAACCACTAAATAGTTAGGTTACAAAATAAAATTTAAATTAAAACAAACTGAGTTTTTTTTTTCTTTTTTTTAGAAACAGAAGAATAAAATAGTTTGTAATAACTTTTGTGGATTGATCTAATATTGAAACATATATTTTTAATCAAATTGTATAAATTAAAATACGAATCTGAATTATTATTTCCTAGAAAAAATGATATATATTTATTATGTCTCACATCACTATAAGACAGAAATGTGTTTTGAAAAAACAAATTTCGAAAAACAAATTTCCAAATTTCGAAAAAAATAGTTCATTAATTTTTATTTAGAACGATTTACATTTTGCTCAATTTGAAGTACCTGTAAAAATGATGTTGTAAAGAGCTGGAACAGGAGCTAGATGAATTGGTTATACTTCCGTCCGAAAGTGACTTTGGTGAACGTACATCCAATGGTATACGTGGATTAAGCGTGATTGGTGATATCTTAAAACGTAGCAAAGTAGCAACATACACCTTTAAAGTCATTTAAAAAGGTCAAGAAAATCATTTATTAAAGTTGATTGTTATTAGCTGAAATTTTTTTTCAAAGCTTTAGAAAATTAGCTAAAGCATTTTTGCTAAAATAAAAATTAGCTATTTAAAATTTCCTGTTTTAGCCCACATTTCCGGATATCGAAAAATTTCTTTTCCCTTTTCTCTGTGTAAATAATATTAAAGATAAAGTAAAGCATAGTGTAAAACTTATTGAACTATTTCATTATTCATTAGACGATTAATCAAATTACCGATAAGCCTAGAAAAACAAAAATGAAACTTACTGGATAAGTTGATCGTTGAAAGGATAAATATGAAGGATTATTTGTCATTGATGGCCGATACATATGATTATTCATCATTGTCATTCTTTTCCGTATATCTCCTTCTAATGTTATCATCCTTATCAGCTCTTCACTGTTTGTTTGTTATCTTCAATATTATCTTTAAGATAATCATTTCGATTTTCTTGAATTAAATCAAAAATTGATATTAAAAGAGAAAATGATTGGATCATAAACAAAAATTATATTATTATTTAAATTTAGTTATAAAAATTATCAGTAAGTTATATCAATTACCGTATATATTTATGTGAGCATAATGCGTTAACATTGTAAGAATTAGTAAGATAAATAAATAAATAAACTACCGTGATGAGAATTTGCAAATTGATGATCGTATCCGTTAGATGGATAATAGATTTTCGGAATATTATCAAGAGCACTCAACTTCGAGAACAAACCGCAACCAAATTCACCAACTTTAAGTTTCTAAATAGTGGTAGCATGATAGCGAGATGAAATATGCAAATTAGGGACTATAACGTCATCACAGAACAGTATGAAATGTTTTAGGATAAAAAAAAAGAAAATTAAGGAGAAACGGCTGAAAAATTATATCAAATTCAATCAATTAATAAAATTTGTAATACTATTTATTTGTTTTTAGCAAATCTTAAATGCAATATAAAATAAATTCTTTAAAATACATTAATGAATTAACGAATAAGAATGCATATTAAAATGAATGAGTTTTAAAATAATTAGTTGTATAATTATGGAATAAATATATAAATTCAACGGGAAATATTATAATTTAAAAAGTTTTGGAAAAGGAATTTTTTCAAATTTAAACAATATCTGAATAAAAATACATACTTTTAAAGCTTTGTCGAGATTCACTAGTATTACTAGAAATAAGACGTACAGCAATACTATTACCCAACTGAAATAAATGTTTAAACAAAATGGAAAAGTGAATTTGTACAATAGAATAAGCTAATACAAGAGAAATCTAGAAAATTAAATGTAAAAATAATTGAAAGAAGATAGAAGTAAACAGTCCGCCCCAGTCGTTTGCTATTGTAACAATAATAATAATTTCTTTAACCAATTGCACTAAATAATAATGTGCAAAATTTGCATAAATGAAGTTTTAGCTCTAATATATCATATAGTCAGACAAATATATACCATTCTAAACTTCATTGTATGCTATTGCATTTGTTATTTTTAACATTATTTCATTTCATTTGCAATACACATTTCATTTCTTTTTTGATGAGATAAACTTGCAAAATTCTGAAATTTCAATTTAACATTAAGAAAAAAATTTAGAATTGAAATTTAAATAAGAAATAAAAGAAAAAAAAAGAAAAGAGATAAAAAGTAACCTTTCTGTATGCTATCATCCTTGAAGCTTTCACTCGTACTAACATATTTGATACATGATAGTACTCTGTTTAGAGTTAAAAAAGCCATTTCAGATCTCACTCATACATTTAAAAGTCAAAACCGCCATTTCAGATCTCACTCATACATTTAAAGGTCAAAACCGCCATTTCAGATCTCACTCATACATTTAAAAGTCAAAACCGCCATTTCAGATCTCACTCATACATTTAAAAGTCAAAACCGCCATTTCAGATCTCACTCATACATTTAAAAGTCAAAACCGCCATTTCAGATCTCACTCATACATTTAAAAGTCAAAACCGCCATTTCAGATCTCACTCATACATTTAAAAGTCAAAACCGCCATTTCAGATCTCACTCATACATTTAAAGGTCAAAACCGCCATTTCAGATCTCACTCATACATTTAAAAGTCAAAACCGCCATTTCAGATCTCACTCATACATTTAAAAGTCAAAACCGCCATTTCAGATCTCACTCATACATTTAAAAGTCAAAACCGCCATTTCAGATCTCACTCATACATTTAAAAGTCAAAACCGCCATTTCAGATCTCACTCATACATTTAAAAGTCAAAACCGCCATTTCAGATCTCACTAATACATTTAAAAGTCAAAACCGCCATTTCAGATCTCACTCATACATTTAAAAGTCAAAACCGCCATTTCAGATCTCACTCATACATTTAAAAGTCAAAACCGCCATTTCAGATCTCACTCATACATTTAAAAGTCAAAACCGCCATTTCAGATCTCACTCATACATTTAAAGGTCAAAACCGCCATTTCAGATCTCACTCATACATTTAAAAGTCAAAACCGCCATTTCAGATCTCACTCATACATTTAAAGGTCAAAACCGCCATTTCAGATCTCTGTAATGCTTGCATTTATCCCTCCTTCATTCTATCAATGCTTCGTGGGTGGTCTAATATATACTGAATATTTGGATATTACCGAACTAATAGCTAAATTATCCTGCTACTGACTAAATTTTTTGTTGTCAACTTCGAGCTTCTTTTGGTAAATGATTTCGGAAGCATTCAGTAATGATTCCGGAAACATGCATAGCACATAGAAATCTTGATTTCTGTATCATGATGCTAAGAAAACGATAGAAGAATTCAGTTCACGAATTGATTACAATTTCAGTTTTTATTGATATTAAAATCACAGATGACGATGAGCAAATTATCATGAGAAAAGAAAATGATAAATAAAGATTGACGATAGGTTGACAAAGGATAGACAAATGTGACACTACAAATGACACAGGTTGATGTCGCTCCTCATGCAAATAGGCTATTAATGGTATTTTCAAGAGAGTTGCATCGAATGTTTGTCATCAAGTAGTTCATTTTGAAGATTTTCCGTAGATGCTAAAATAATGAAATATTTGTAAAAGATTAGTAGCATATAGCTTATGATTTTTCAATTCTAAAATGATATATTTGCATGAATAATCCAGAAAATAAATAATAATTTATCAGAAAATTACTCTGTTTGATGTTATCATTGCCCGATGTTAGGGTATTGGTATTTAAATCCAATGAATTTAACCATTCTGTTACATATTGTATTTTATCTGCTGAAAATTATTGATATACTCTAATTAAAATTAATTATTGAATAATAACGATATCTTTAATAAAAACAAATTCATCAACTATTAGCGAAATTATGTAAACGAACGAATGCGTAAACGAATCAAACTAAATGGTTCATCGTTATTCATATGATTATCATTCGAATCACAATATGTCGTTAATTGAAATGGATTTATACGATTGTAACGCATTGGATTCAGATAACGTTTCGTATTATCAATTTCAAAAATACATTCTTCACGTGTTCGATAAATACGAAACAAATTGCGAAGTATGTCAAGAAAATGCTGACTGAAATTATTATTATTCATAATAATAATGAAAGAATAACATAATCATGATTAGCTATGCATCATTTCTGATGATTTCATTTAAGTAATGAAATATAGGTGACCTGAAATCATTTGATAATACTTAATGATGAATTTTTGCATGCAAATCTTTCACCTTTACATATGAACTCATAAATGTCAAAGGTATCATCGAAACAATTGATGATCTTATCTCTACAATTGCTGATCTTATCTTGACCCTGACATACCATGCAGACTTTCCGACAACCACTGGACATTTATTAGGGATATCAGAGTGCAAATCGCATGCATAATGCAAATTAGACGAAATATGCTGTTCCCAACGTGAACTATCATCAACATCCGTCTCGAAGATATGCGCAATAACGGTTATCATATCTTCCATGCATATTAGACGTTCCGCACGAATTGATGTCGTATCTCCTGACGTTTTCAGTCAAATATATATTTTCTTTTGGCTATCCTTCTTCTCACTCATTCTCTATTTATTTATTACTTTTATTAATCTTTGTTTTTTTTTTAAAAAATTCTTAAAATAAACTCCAGAATTTACTCTTTTCATTGCAAATATTACTTCGATGATAAAAAATTGTGCAATTTCCTTTAAATTACTTTTTAGGGAACTGTCACGTTTTTGTTTAATCCAGATTAAACTTGCTGCCAAATTTTGATATTGTGATGCAGGTACTAAGATCAAATTTGCCCAGCATCCTCTCATTTCGTTTGCTATACGAATACATGCCTGATGGACATTTAAATGATTTGGTGTTTGTGCTAATTCAGTAAAGCCATTTTCTAAAAATATATAACCAATAGCTCAATGTATTCTTTCAACTTTTTTTGAGTTTTCAAATACATAAGAAGAATGATCTAAAAAAATTGAGCTTAGAAGCATGAAGATGCAGAATTATTTCAGATTATCAATCACTTTCAGTCAATAATTCATTCGGCATCTTTTAGAATTATTACATAACTTTTGAACTTAAAATAAGCAATAATTATACCTGAAATTCGAAAAAACTGATAAGATTGATGATCGACGGGATAATCGTGACGTATTAAAATACGCTCACTGTTAATAACTCCTTCGCTGAGACTCATCACGTACGTGCAAATTTCAGCCGGTGGGCAAATTAGCTCGTCATTGGTACTATTTGACTCTAAGATGCAATAAGGCTGAACTGTAAGCAATCCGAATCTTTTCTTAGCAAGCACTTCTGTCTGTAATGTAATTTTTAATTTTTATTATTTTTGCAATTAATTCTCAAAGACAAATATCATTAGAGGGAAACTTTTTGTTGAGAAGAAAATTTCGTTGAGTTTATGCTAATTTTCGCCTCTCTCAATTGTATTTGTTTACGACATGAGTAATTGTTTACAGTATGATGTATGATATATCGTACAATGAAGTGTTATATCCTGCATCTTGTGTCACCTCATACTGTCATCCTGTCAACGATGAACATAACAGTATCTCGTTGAATATTTATGGCCTCTGAATTCATTCTAACGATGAACTAACTATGCTTTACTCGATGCAACATAATAAGGAATAGTTTGTAAGTCACAGTGCAGCGGCACGGTAGCCATGGTACAATAATACGGTAACTACAGTACAGCAGTACGGCAGCCACAGTGTGGTAGTACGGTAACTACATTGGAGCAGTACGATAATGTGTGTTTGATAAAGTGTAGTACAAAAAAGATATGACAAATCATACGAACTATGCTGCCTTTTTCTCTCCAAATTAACTTCTGATAGGTGCTTTGACGGAGTGATTTACGTTTCGATTCCGTGAGTTTGTAGGAAAATGGTTTTGGTTGAAGTGATAGTTCCAGTTTGGATAACCGTCGAGTCTTTGACTTACTCACAATTGAAACTGATTGCATTTGATAAACTTGCTGCTCATACTAAATTGGCATATTGCTGACTACATTAGCATTTAATCAGAATCAAATTTGATAAGTATTATTTTTAAAATATTTTAATTCTAGAAAAATTCGAATCAAATTTTAAAAATTGAAGTTGGAACATCCAGAATTTGAAACCACTTTAAATTTAGTAAATTCGATGAAATGATTTTAATTTAAAATTACAATCGTTCTAGTAAATGCAGAATATATCAGTGAGAAATAATATTTTCAATCATTTTTTTAAGAGAGAAGACACAATCAGCTTTTAACAAAATGATAAAGATCCTGAGAATGATTTACTGATTAGTTCAAGTTTTTTTTTTTCACAAAACATTAGTTCAAGTTTTTTTTTTCTTCACAAATCAAGGCTCTAATTCTTAGTCGAACAGTCATTCTAACATATCTTATATATTATCTAATCTTAACGGCAATCTATTTCGTTCATTATTTCTCACCAGAATATAATTAAATGATAGTAGTAAAATTTTGAAGTTGCTGAGCACATATAATGACAAGATGAAAGCTTCCGGACTACATCAACAATATTATGAATATGGATACAAGGACATTAATAGTCTTGATACTAAAATGGATAAGTGGAATGACAAGATCTCATAAATTAACAACCATTTAATCAAATTTCAAAAAAAAAAGTAAACAAAATCAATGGTTGTTTTCATTTGAAAATAAAATGCTCAAAACTACAATCTTTTTATCTCTTAAAATCACAAAAAACTAAACCAGTTGCAGATAGCTTGCAACCAGATATTATTTGTACTAATAATATTCAGCAATTTCTTTGACAATCATTTTCACTTACTAGATTATATGAGTCGTTATTGAGTATAAGCTAATTTTATCACTATTAATGTTTATATTTATCAGAAAGAAAATTATTATTACCGAAAAGTTGTATAAATCTAACGAATTACTTTTAATACATGATCTACTGATCTAATACATGATCTACTGATCTATTCTATTGATAAGTTTACTCTACTCTATAATAATGATTTGTTGATTGCACTAGAAAATGAATATTACTTCGTTACGACGTCGACTATTTTCGTTACGCCATTTTTGACGTTCATCGTCACTCATCATTTTCCAGTCTTGTGCAGCTCGTTCGACTAATTTCTTGGCCGTTAGATGTACACCATTATTCTCTGATTCATAAAAAGCTCGTCGTGCATCAGCAAAATACATAAAACCATTGGAAGAACGCTTTTTCGTCATTTGATTTGAATTTGTAATCTCAACAAGACTAATAGTATTTGCTTCCGCTTCTATCACTTCAAAATGCGTAAACTAAAAATTAAATCATTTTCTAATGTTAATTACAAGCTTACAATAAAAATTCAATTCTATTCTTTCTTCCTTACAAATATAACTTCAACATTTCTTTTATTCTTTTACTTCAAAAAATTTTCAATTTTTCTTTCATTCTTTCAACATCATTCATTTCTCCCATACAGATTCTAGAAGTGAGATAAATGAGCACTGAGATTAATAATGAAGCTAAGCATTACAATGTAAATTTATTCTCTCTCCCTCTCTCTTCCCCTCTCCCTCTCTCTCTCTCTCTCTAAGGAAATGGCATTCATAATGACCAATTAACATTTGTTAAGGTGTTTTTATTTTTTGATATCATCGATATAGTGCGCATTGATCTCAAAACAAAACAAAAAAAAATACCAAGAAGGACATTTAAAAACTTATTAAATTGTTTCATACTATTAAAGTTAGAAATAAAAAAGAGTTAAGCATTCAGAAATACAACACAACAAAGGTACCACCAACTTTATAAACACAATTCCAAAACTGACAAAATCGCAAAAAACCACTGTTTCTCAAAGTAACCAGATGCAGTAGCAGTCAAAAGAAGCCTGCAATAAAAAGTAATCAAAAATTCAATGAATGAATTCTACTCTTTAACACATTTTTATATCATATTCCATTTGCGCACTTTTACAACTCTCTCTCTCTCTCTCTCTCTCAGTGCTTTTTAAAATGCATTACTTCTTGAATCTCTTATTGTAAGCATTAATCTTAACCCCTGTAACCTTTAAGCTTACGTATGCATCTGCTCATATTTATGTGTATATCTTATGTTCTATATGGCCGTGTGTGTACATGCGTACGTGTACATACGTGTACATACGTCACGTCCTCATTAAGCGTATCTATGCATCCTCTTCATCTCTTCTAATCAGTGTAATAAAATGAAATGATAGCATATGCTAAAAATAAACGTTTTTAAATAAGAATCACAGCTGGGCGGGCTTAACGTAGCGAAGTGACGAATTATGTGACAATTGATGATAGTACTCTCTCTCTCTCTCTCCCTCTCCTCTTCCTCTCTCCCTCTCTCTTTTTCTGTCTGTCTTACCTTTTGTTTATGTACATTTTTATGTATGTTACGGGGAATTTTATTTTCTGGTCAATTGATTGCATACATTTACGTTCAATTCGAAAAGTTTATTCGCATTCTCGAAAGATTTAACATTTTGTGATGTTTAACTTTTTTTAAATAAAAGTTTAACAAGAGGTATACTTTTGCATGGGTATGTGTAAAATATGTGTTGCCTAGCGAAAGATTTATGACAGGTAAAATAGTGAAATAATTGCGATACAATATAGGAAGCTATTGATGATGAAGAACCATCTTTAAGAGATAGCCAATAATAGATTCATATTCAAAAAACTTTTTATTTTAAAAACAATTTTTAGGAGAAATGGAAGGAAGTGGCGAGGGTGAAGTTCCAGCGAACACAGCATCGAATAGTACAGCTGGACCTGTTGGATGGTATGATCGATTCCAGGGAATGATTGCGGATGAGTTGCCGTTTGTTTTCTTTTTTTTTTTAAATTCAATGAAGTCGATATTTGCTTGACGGAATAAACATCTTCCAATATGGGACAACTTATAGCACAGTTCAAGTTTTATCATACTGAGAAATTTTTTGATGTCCTAGAAATGACGAATTAGCCATGTGTACTAGAGCTGTTCGACGAAATATGCCTTTTGATAGTTTGTGAGAATATACCGTTTCTATTTAGGCAGGGCATTATGATAATGATTTACATTGTTAGCTCGAAATGATTCATCCGATTTTATTCGATTAGTTTATTTCAGTGCGATGACTTGATGTTTTTTTCAGTCCAGAATATATGAAATTCCTTGTATTGGACTATTTAATCTCTCAAGGGCACAGGGAGGCAGCGGAATATTTGTGCGAAGACGCCTCTATACCATTCCCGAGAGATGCAATTGAAAATCTTGATCAGCGAATGCGTATCCGTGATGATATTGTAGAAGGAAAGGTTTGTATTATTAGCATTCTAATCGTCAGCTTTTATTGTAGCGGTTACAAATTACTTAAGTTTGAATTTGAGCTAAAGGTAAGATTTTAGATGTCCTAGATATAAAGAATTGAGAATAATTGACATATCAGGAATACGGGGACGAAAGTAAAGTTGGTGTAACAGAAATGTAGAAGTGGAATGCTTTTGTCATCTTTGATAACCACTTTTCTCTCAAACCTTTAATTTGGATATTTAGATACAAAGTGCAATCGAAAAAGTTGTAAAAGTTGTTCCCGATTTGTTGGAACGCAATCCAGTTCTTCATCTTCGTTTACTTCAGCAGCATCTCATTGAACTTATTCGCAATAAAATGGTTGGTTTAAGAATCAAATGCTCTTTCTTTTTTTGACTTTCTCTTTTTGTTAAGTGTTATAAAAAGAAATGTTATGATTTGTGAATTGAAGTATATTCAGTGCCTTTATTTAGCAACAAAATTGACCTATATAGTAGTTCAAATTTTATAGAATCCGTAGGATGATGGTTTTTCCTGACCTTTTCCTCTTCTTATCACAATTCGTTTTACCATTTTGAAAGGATACGGGATTTAGTCTTGTTCTGTCCTATTTTGGAAATTAATATCATTTTATTGATCACCCTAAATTGAGACTGATAAGTTAAATGACATATCGTTTATTTATAACAGCTAATACGTTGATCAAACAACAGCAGCTGAAGTAGAAGGTGGATAGCTACAAAACAAGATTTTCAGGTAGAGGAAGCCGTTGCTTTTACGCAGTCCATTGTTGAAAAAGTGGATGCACATCCTGAAATGGAAAAAGAAATGCAAAAAGCTTTTGCAATGATTGCTTTTGAAAAACCTGAAGATTCTCCATATACATATCTATTGGAAATGAGTCATCGTCAGATGGTTTTTCATTCTTATCATTTATATCACATGATCACTGTTTTTTAAGATATGATAAAATTGGTAGGGATTTCAGATAATGTGTTCATAAGAATGGAGTAGGTTTCATTCTTCTATTAGACCTGCTTCATCGTGATTTTATTCTCTCATCCTCTGATGGTCTCTTCATTTCTTTCATGTTATTGCTTCTCTTATTTCTTCTGTGACTTAAAGCAATTAATCAGCTAAGTGATCGCAAATAAAATGTCCTTAAATTAATATGATTTTCAAATTCTCTCCAGGTTGCCAACGATGTAAATAGTGCCATTCTGGAAGCTCTGAATAAGCCGTCTGCACCGAAGCTAGAGAACCTTTTTCGACTGATCTTATGGTCCAAAAACGTGCTGAAGCATAACGATACACCGGAAAGCTTAGAGCGCCTTTTCAGTGGACAAGTAACTAATATTTGATTATTTGTGATCAGTCCAACTATTAGATTAATTTGCATCTCGAAAACTTCTTTCTTTTAAAACTATTATAAGAAAGGAACGACCGCTATCTACCTGATAATCTAGTAGCAATCTTATTTCTTAGTCATTGATAACTGCTTTATAGTTTCAAAATATTCGGTATTACTATGAATTTTAATAATACTAGACTCGTTTTTACTTGTCTTGCTTTGTCCTTTTGAGTGATTTTCCCACCCTCTTCAGTGACGTTTTATGCGTGAACATAATTCGCTACGAACGTCTATTCCTGTTTAAATTGCTTGTGAATACCTCAAATTTTCACATAAATTTTGTCTTTCCGAAACAAGCGGTCATTCTTAGTGCTACCGTTCGAAAATTTTAAATTTTCTGTACAGTGAGATTTTTATACGTGACTATGATTGTTTGTGTGCTTTGTTTGCATTGTATTTAGAAGATGTCATTGATTTCTCAATTTTCAGACTTTGTTTCGAGGTTTTTTGATATGTAAAAAGTTAGTATGAATTTGATTTCGTCTCTTATTTTTTTGCATTGTATTGTAAGTTTTGCATGATCAATAAAATTTTTATTGGGCGTTTGCAGTCGTTTTTTGGTTTTCTGGGGTTTTTGGCTTTTTAGCTAAACTTCATTTCCTTTTACGGGATTATCTTGACCCATTTATTTTTTGTTAACTTTTGTCACTTACAAATATAGCAGTAAATGTCACATTTCAAGATCTTCAAGACTTCCATGGAATATTTATTTTCTTGTTATGTTGTTTGCAGTTTGATGAATTGAAGGATGTGTGCTACATTTAATATCTCACGAGTTCGTTTAATGATCCTCCTAAGTTATTTTTTTTTTGTAATGAGTATGATCTCTTAAGTAACTTTAAAGGCAAAATTAATTCATATAGGTTAAAAAGAAGTGTTCATTTTGATTGATTTAATAAATGAATGTTTTGTAAAATATCACAATTTAAACATTCATAATTTTTTCCATCAATTTTATGCAAACTGCAAAGTTTGCATAAGAATGTGATGAATACTCGACTACTTTCCCAATTCATTCATTCTTGATGCATTTTGCATTTAATTGAAAAGACGTTTCATTACTAATTAATCATTTTCTCTTCTTCTCTAGATATATCTTATCTCCGTTAGCGGAACATCTGTTACCATGTCGTCTTAAAGCAATTATCTTTCTTCTTCCCCTCTTCAGATTTCATTTTTGAACCAAATGCGCAAAAAAACCTTTCTAACATTTTATACATTGTAAACTTGTAGGTATGTATATATAGAAAAGTGTGTATGTGTATTTGTGTTTAAGTTTGTGTATGTGTGTGTGTGTGTGTGTGTGTGTGTGTATGTTCGCTGATATATATTACTATATATGTAGAGAAGTGGAAAAAAATATATAAGAGAAGGCTTTGCAATACTCATGTCAAGTGACTGAATAACTGAGTGATCTCATTCGTTAATCGTATCGCTCAAGAGCAAAACGGCAGGTGCGGTAGCAAGACGGCAGATGCGGTAGCAAACGGACGGCAACATAATCCC